GTGTTAGGATGCCTAGTTGTGATGGACATGCAAGTATGACATGACTGGCATCTGGAGACTGAATTGAGGCTAAGGCACACAGCCTTCCACAGAGAACCTGAAACCTGCTGCAGAACGCCTGGACTCCTCAGCCAGACCAGAGCTATAAAATGCAGCCAGAGAGGAGGAAGCTTCTGTGTGGAGAGTGAACAGTTTCTTTAGAGGGAGTGGTAGCCAGGCTGTGAATCCTTCTGGGGAGGAAACTTCAAGTGTACCCTGAGAGAGTTTTTCCTTTAGTTCAGAGAGAGAGGGAAGGCCAGTGCCCAAGTCATACCTGAGAAAGTTAATGCCAACGTTCATCCTGAGGACTGAGCCCTGCCTGGGATTCCAGAGGGCAAGAAAGTACCCGATTCCCTGTTTGATGTTGAAGCCAGAGATTTCACTGAGATTGGCTAGCACTTCCAGGGGTTGTCAAAGCAACCCACGGATTTTTCCCACGGAGCACATGAAGTTCACCTGGTGAAACCTTATCACGAGGTTGTCTTGAATCCTATCCAGTAGGGTTACCCGATTGGTAAGACAACCTCAGCAGAAAGAGGCTAGATGCCCAGTAATTGAGAAGTAACAGAGTGGGAGATTGTTAGAATAATGCCCACCATGTCATCACATGCCTCTGTCACCTTTCTCCTTTAGTATGGCTTCCCTGGTGGCTCAGATGGTGAAGAATCCACCTGCAATGCAGGAGACCTAGGTTTGATCCCGGGGTCAGGAAGATTCCCCTGAGAAGGGAAGGGGAACCCACTCCAGTAATTCTTGCCTGAGAAATCCCATGGACAGAGGAGTCTGGAAGGGTACCTTAGGAGCCTGGAGTTGCAAAGTGTCGGACATGACTGAGTGACTAACACATGTAACTCTACTATTCCTGCCATGAAGGGTGGAGTACATTTTTCCACCCCATGAATCTAAGTAGTCTTTTAACTTTTCGGACCAATAATTGTGGCAGAAATGACATCATGAGACTTCTAAGGCAAGGCCTTAGGAGAACTTGCAGCTCCTACTTTTGCTGTCTGGAAACGCCTGTCTCCAGTAGGTAAAGAAGCCTACTGAAGGATGACAGACGGGTCATGTAGAGAAGCCCAGTCAAGAGGCAGCATCAAGGTGCCAGTCATACAAACGAAGCCATCACAACCAGCTGGTCCAGCCCCCCACTGACCAGTCAACTGACGGCAGACATGGCTGAGTGAGCCCAGCTGACGTCACTTAAAACAGAACTGCCCAGCTGAGCTCAACCCGAACAGCCAGCCACAGACTGTGGGCAAATGAATGGTTTTTGCTGTTAGCCACTAAGTTCTGGGGTGGTTTGCTTCAACAGATAACTGATGGAACGAACCACTTGGACTACAGATGCAGCTGCTGGTGTTACGAACTGTGAAGGAGAGGAGAGAGAGAGAGCAAGCCAGTACCCGAGTCATGCCTGAGAAAGTTAACACCAAAGTTCATCCTGGGGAGTAACCCCTGCCTGGGATCCCAGAGGGCAAGAAAGTGCTGACTCCCTCTTTGACGGTGAAGCCAGAGATTGCACTGAGACTGGCTAGCACTTCCAGAAGTGCTTCCAGGAAACCTCCAAATAGCCCACAAAAGCACCCCGCAGGATAATACCAAGTCTAACCTCCTACATGAGACTCATTCAGTAACACCANGTTGGCAAAGTAACGTTTCTACTTTTTAATATGCTGTTGAGGTTGGTCATAATTTTTCTCCCAAGGAGTAAGCGTCTTTTAATTTCATGGATGCAGTCACCATCTGCCATGCCTAGACAACCAAAACTATCATTGCAGACTTATTTTCTTCCTACCTCTATCTCCCTTCCCACTTCTACACCAGTGTCTCAGTCCGTTCCAATGGCTTTAACAAAAGTACCAGAGACCGGGTGACCTACAAGCAACAGAAATTTACTTTGCACAGCTCTGGAGGCTGGAAGCCCAAGATCAGGGGGGCAGCGGGGTTGGATTCCGTTAAGGGCCCCCTTCTGGGTTGCAGATGGCCATTTTCTCAAGTGTTCTCATGCGGTGGAGTGGACAAGAGGGCTCTCTGGCTTCTGTTTTGTAAGGCACTGATCCCATTCAGGGGGATCAAAGACCCAGTCGCCTCCCGAAGCCCCATCTCCTACCACCATCACACTGGAGGTTACGATTTCAACATGTGAGGCCATATAAACATCCAGTCAACCAGCATCAGCAAAACTTGAGTTTATCAACAGTCTCAATTCAGCATTTAGAATAGCACAACCTGGGTTAAAAAATAAAAGCAAAACATACAAACAAATCTTCCCCCACCAAATCCCCATTCTTAGCTTGAACCTGCTTCAGCTGGAAGCCTGCAGTGGGAAAGGGTAATGTGGTTTTCTGCTCTCTGAGAGTTCACCCATCCTCCCACCTGTTTCTAGGAATAATAAGAAATGTTCATTCACAGCTTGCTATTCACATGGCAAATGTCCACATTTCTATATAAGGTTATGGGAAGTTTGAAGTGCCAATAGAAGACAAGACTAAAGCTGCTTAAATCACAGTCCACATGTCATATTTATTCAACATGCTAGTTACACACATCTGTCTTCCCCACTCTTATCAGACCTGGAGGGCACAGTCCTTGTCCAGTCATCTTTGATTCATTAGATCCAGAACACAGTGCCTGAAGCATAAAGACAGCAGGTGACTGTTGGATGACTGGATTTATGTTGCTTGAAACCCCATTTTACTTTTCAAATTCATTACTAACAGGGCTGTTTATAAAGAGAGGGAATACCATTTAAAACAACAATGGGGAAGGGTGGTGGGGAAGAGGGGTTATTCCCAGATATTATTTTGTTTACTCAGCATTTTTTTTCATTTGCAGAAGAAACTTATTTGATTGCAGACTTTTAGAAAAGTATTTAGGGAATTCCCTGGTGGTCCAGTGATTAGAATTTGGCACTTTCACTGCTGAGGCCTGGGTTCAATCCCTAGCCAGGGAACTGAAATCCCACAAGAAGCATGGCACAGCCAAAAACAAAAACCTCATAGAGATGTATTTAAAATTATTTTTGTATAAATATTTTAACAGTAGCTTTATTGTAAATAATAGATCAAAAATTTGAAAAATTATTTCAAAAATAAAAATAATCTATAATCATAACAGATAACACATTAATATTTTGGTATACATCCTTCTAATCATTTTTCCTAAATAGGTTTTTCTTGGGTGTAAGTACCTGACTTGAAGCAGCAAAATGACAGTGCAAATTATAAGAAAATCTGACTGATTAATATACATCAAAATACATCCCAAACAAGTAACATCTAGAAAATATCTCAAATTACTAACAGCTGTTATCTTGGGGAAGGTGGGAGAAAGCTAGATTTGTTGAGGAGGTAGTGGAGGCAAAGGATGTTTTAGTTTACCTCCAGTGTTATAATTTTTTAAAAAGGATAGATTCAGAGTATTAATTACACATTAAAAAAATCCAAACATTAAAAAAAGAGTTGCCACATGTGTAAAGTAAGTTTTGAAGGATGTGGTTATGATAAATGAAAGGGAATTAACATGCACTATCAGAAAAAATAAATTCAGAAGCTTTGCCCTGTTAATCTGCCTCAACCCTACCCGTTCTACAATCACTTCCTGATTCATTAGTTCCAAAGCCATTAGAACTGTGTCACACGATTGAGAAACACTGGCATCATGGCAGTCCTGTAAAGTTCAGATAACCAAACTGGTTTTTAAATTTTCTTCCAGAAATATGTTCCTGATCATCAACTTTTAGTGACTCTTAAATGGGAAAGCTGATTAGGCTCAAACAACTTAATTAATTAACATATACTGAACACTTATTTTTTAAATGTTCAGAACCATTTGAAGCTATGGCAACAGAACTCCATGGTGCAGTTCCACATTTGTGCATGCACGCTGAAAGCTCTTGCAAGTCGCCTGGGATCTGCTGGTCAAGCACAGTATCCTCTCACTGCGGGGTGTCAGGAACACCAGTGGGTGGAGCCCCAGGACACCCACAGGACAGACAGGCAGCAGCTGTCCGAGCTGCGGGCATGCGGCAANCAGGACACCCACAGGACAGACAGGCAGCAGCTGTCCGAGCTGCGGGCATGCGGCAATGTTTACAACATGTCAACTCACATGATTATTTTTTATACTACATCTATGCCTAATGGGGATGAGGTTGGCATTTCTGGAGCCAGCATCCTACAGGTAAAGCAGCTAGAAAAAAGAAAGAGATACCGATTCCTGGGTCAGGAAGATCCCCTGGAGAAGAAAATGGCAACTCACTCCAGTATTCTTGCCTGGAGAATCCCATGGACAGAGGAGCCTGGCAGGTTACAGTCCATGGGGTTGCAAGAATTGGACATGACTTAACAACTAAACCACCACCATATGCACCCAGGCCAAGGCATATTTAACTTAAGGGGTGAGAAAAGCTAAGAATGGAATGACTGGTCTTATCAGTTCACTGTTCTCCTGATGGCTTCCTTTGATGAGTCTTCAAATAATACTCCTTGAAGTCTTCAGATCTCCTTTAGAAGCTGCCCTGAGCCACATATACCTTGGTCTTTTCTACTGTGTGAGAGTATGGCAAGAAACAGAATGTATGCCTTTAGGCTGCCTAGGTAGGCAGCAGTATACATATTATTTTAGTAAATGGCTCCATGGAGCTCCTTCCATGAAAAGCATTTTTTACATAAATTGTTTATTTGTTACAGTAAAATATCTAGTACATGGAAATTTTTTTTTTTTTAAAAAGCACATTTTTAAAAAGTCTACAATTATCATATCCAAACATACTCTGCAAACAGAGAATTTCTTCCTAAATTCTGTGACAAAAACTGATCTGACCTGATTTGAGGCACTCAAGAGTCCTTAGTTATCACATTTATTGGTGGTATTCATATATTCACCACAGAAATATCAGTGTATTTGGTAATGGGTGCCCTTCTAGATTCTTTGCACAGTTTTAAGTAAAATATTTTATATTTACCCTATCACTTGTCTAAAATCTGAAAAATTTTGATTCCAAAACACAACTAGCCCTTGGTTTTCAAATAAAGGATTGTAAAGCATACGTCCCCAAACTGTTACCAATGTGGTGATTCCGCCAAACCCAAAATGGTTCCAATGAAATATGTCTGCCCTAAAGAACGTCATGAGGCTAAATCTCCAGGAAAAGAGAAAAGATGCTCAGGTGATGTCAATGTATGCACAAAGCAGATAGGTTGAGACCCACTGAGCTGCTTGGCTTAAGGCTTAAGTCTGTCAACTGTTTTTTAAAAAATTCTTCCTGAACCAAGTCATTTCTAGATAATCATTGAAGCAGTCACCAATAAAGAATTCTAAGCTTTCTTCACTCTGATAGTGGCTTATTCATCAATCTCTCCTCAATTTTTCTATGAATGCACAAGGGGCAGGGGAAGAAAGATACTGAAATCACATGAGATATTTCAAAATACTTTCAGCACAATAATCCATACTATATTAAACTCCTTTAGCACATACATCAAACTGAAGAAAGTAACTGAAAAGTAGAATTCACTTTGGTTGAGGCTATAGTAGAGGAAATCACAGCATCTTCCAGTGAATTCTAGGACAGCAAGTGAAACAATAATTGCACTAATTTTCCAGTGACTCTCACTGGTCAAGATGCCAATGTAAACCACATTCATAGACAAATTTCAAAGAAGGCTACAAAATACCTTAAAGCTATTAAGTTTAAGATAACTTCTGCTCAGAGACCAACTGAAATATATAGTAAGGTGCACATTTTTTAGATCTCGGATCTCTCTTTTGCTTTTACTTAAAAACAATCTTTTTTGTGTGCATTCTAATGGTCACATGAAAAAGACATTTACTTTTTTTCCATCACTAACTCTGAGGAAGGAAGAACAAACGTGGAGAAGACGTTGCAGCTCACCAGGAACCACGCTCCACACTTTTCACAGTAGTGTGGCAGGTAACAGGAGAAGTCCAAGATACTACACTTACGCAGGCTTCCGCACGCATTCGTTTCAATACTTAAAACAAATGCAACATCTGGTTAAGTGGCATGGAGACATTTCTTCATCACAACTCAACCATTTAAAAATTTTATCACTTTTAGTCCTCTGCTGATTTAAATAAACAAAATTTGTATCTACCATGTAGGAACTTTCAGTTCAATATATTGGGACATTATAACTTCACTGTTCAAGTTCCATTCAGCAGAAGAAAAATAGCTAAATTGAGTATTGTCTTTCGCCAGGAAGATATTAGCTATTAGAAACGCATTACAGGGAGGAAAACTGTGACATGCCATCATTATGGACTAGAGGAGGAACTGGCACTTCTGTTTTGTCATTATAGTTATTCTTCTTGGGATAAAACTTGGAATTGCAAATTTAGCTAAACTCATCATAGTTTTAACTTCGGTAAATGAAATAAAGTTCACTGTCTAGGCCAAAAACCCCAAGCAGCTGTTGGGAGCAAGAGAGCTACGAGGACAGAAGAAAAGAGATTCACGGCATTGTTGTCGAGAATGGGTTTCCCTGCTATGTACTTCACCGCCTTCCCTGGGCTGTTGACCACCATGCCAGTGCTTTCATCCAAACCTGGAATGAAAAAGAAGCGAATGAAGTGGAAAACCCAAATGACTTGATTTTAAAAACAACAGCAAAGAAACCCACCAAACTAGCTTTCTCCTCTAAAGATGATAACCCTGCAAAGATTCTCGGCCATTCAGAGGATGACTTTAGTGGATAACCTACATGGTGAGTGAGACGGAACCCGTGGTTACAAAAGGCTTCCTTGAAGAAATGGGTCTCAGTACGCCTCAATACTGGTCTCTCAACAATGCTGGAGTTCTTTCAGAAGGAGAAGGCAGGCCTTGAAAAGCAGAGGTGGCATGAAACTGGCAGACTGGGCTTGCCTTCCTGGGGGCTCCCCTCTAAGACCACATGGAAGGCTCCTGAAAGCAGGGGTCACCTTTGCAACCTCTACAATAGACACTAAGGCCCAGCAAGGTGCTCACACAAAGGAGGCACACGGAGATGAATCCAATCTGCTCCCCAGCCCACATTTTTTTTTCCAACCGACTCAATATGATCAGAAATTTCCAAGTTAGAACTCAGTTTAGAATAAAACCGAGGCTCTGTAACATAAAAGGTGTAATGTGTGTATGGTTACTGACCCTTTAGTATAAATGAAAATCTGACTGCTTCCTCCCAGCATCTAGATAAGACTAATGAAGCTGAGAGCACAGATGTTTTGTTGGTGGAAAGTGATTACACCAGGGCATGAAGAGAACTGGGAGCACTGTGTTTGGGGAACCGTCTGGAGACTTCCAGTCTCTTCACTGCATGAATCAAAGGAGAACATGCGGCTGGTCAGAGGCTGGAGCCAAGACACACCAAAGGGAACAAGTCGGTACACTGACATGACAGGAGAGCCTTAGGTGCAAAGCACAGAAAATGTTGGAGAAAACGCTTATGTATCTTGATGCAAGACTAGCAGGCATGACGTCACAGTACAAAAGTACATCATCTGTGTAGCGTCAGATTAGCAGAATAATTATTTCTTAAATGGATTTGGAAAACAAATGGAAAGAGGGGCATAAGAGCGATCTGACTCCCAAATTCTGCTTCTCTGGGATGAAAATACCATAAGCAAATGCATCTGTCTCCTGCATGATCATTCCCTGTATAGCTTCTACTCATTGCTCTGTAGGAGTAATCCTCTTTCAGTGAGTTTATCACAAAAGAATAAGAAATTCAAAATTGTATTAGAGACTTTGCCCTATTATTCTGGCTCCCTCAACAATCTGTGTTTTTGGTATTGTTTTTATTATCTCTCTTTTTTCCTTTTCCATATTTCTTTCCCACTTCTTTCTCTTTTTTTAAACACATTTATTTCGGATTTGGCTGCACGGGGCCTCACGGTTTTGCATGGGCTCTCTCCAGCTGTGCAGAGTGGGAGCGTCTCTTCGTTTCAGCGTGCTGGCTCCTCACTGTGCCTTCTCTTGTTGCAGAGGAAGGGCTCTCGCACAGGCCCCGCTGCCCCATGGTATGTGGAACCTTCCTAATCAGGGATCGAACCTGTGTCTCCAGCCCTGCTGGGCAGACTCCTACCCATTGCACCACCAAGGAAGCCCCTGTCTCTTTTCTTTTGGTTTTAAGGACACATTTATTCAGTGTCATGATCAGACTACTACCTTTAGCAATCAACAAGCAGTGTGGGTGAAAAAAACAACCCTATATTAAATATCTCTGTTGTCAGGCTTTCCGCTTTCCACAGAAAAGAGACTAAAACAACTTGTTTACAATTAGTCAAAAATACAGTCCTAGAATTTTTTGTCCACAACATGACATATCTAAGATATGTCTAAAATATATCTTCTCTGAAGCAGCTAGGCGCTGCTACTACTGTGTGTGGCTAAGTCCTCATTTCTTTAATACACCAATAAGTTGCAATAATAAGGTTATGCTCTTACCACTAAATTGCATGGTAGCTCCTAAATATGAATCCACAATTGATCCTAGTAGTCCAGCCAGACCCCCAAATGCAATAATTGGCCACTGGGGAGCAGAAATGTCTAAATCGTTAACAAAAACCAACTGTGTGAGGAAGTAAGCGATGCCTACAAAGGTCCCACCAAGAAGACTGGAGGCAAGGCCCACCATCGTCACTCCTCCATTGGTCCCTAAAGAAGAACATGGGAAAATCAGCTGGCAAAGAATCAACCAACACAGGAAGTAAGAAGCAAAACATCTGTTACCTGTCTAATCAAAACCAACTCAAAGAAAAGGTTCACTCTGATGCAATCCAAAGACCCTCCTACTTAGAAAAGAGGCGTTTCTCCTCAATAATTCCTGACATTTTCAGCAGTGAGTTGAGGACAGCCAGGCTGCCTGGTTTCAATCTCAGTTCTGTCATTTCCAAGCTTGGTGACTGTGATGAAGTTAGGTAACTTCTCTATGCCTTAGTTTACTTGTTTGTGATATAAAAAATAAAAGGATCAATTTACATGATTATTAAGAGTAAACAGTAATAATGGAGAGCAGTTAGAACACTGCGTCGCACAGAGCAGGTACTCAAATGTATTAATTGTTATGTTGTTGCTGCTGCTGATAATGAAGGGGACAAAAGGAAGGAAAAAGGAGAAGAAAGAGAGGAGGAGGTGATGATGAAGCACTAGTGCAGTACTATTAACAGCGGCAGCAGTGGTTGGTAACAACAATGGGAAATGAGATACACACCGAAGCACTAACCACGTAACAGGCTCCCAAGAGATACTCGATCATTTCTTTCCTTTTCCCTTCCTACTGATAAGCCCGCAGGTCAATCTCTGTTTCCATACAATTTATCTAGGAGTTACTAACACTTCCTGCAAATACTACTTATCACCAGTTTAACAGCGTATAGTCATTTTCCAATTAAGGGGGAAAATTGAAATTCTCTCTTTTTAAAAAATTATTTGTTTATTTGGCTGCGCTGGGTTTTAGTTTTGGCATGTGGGGTCCTCAGTCTTCCTTGTGGCATGCACGATCTAGTTCCCTGACCAGGAATTGAACTCAGACCTGCATTGGGAGCATGGAGTCTTAGCCACTGGACCGCTAAGGGAGACGCCAAACCGAAATTCTTAAAAGGCTTTTAAATACTAAACACAAAAAATCAAGAGGCTTTTTTTTTTTTTTGGTCACACTGTGTCATGAGGAATCTCAGTTCCCTGATTATGGATGGAACCCGGATCCCCTGCAGTGGAACCTCGGGTCTTAAGTACTAGATCTCAAGGGAAGTCCTTTGTTCAGTTTTTTTTTTTTAAAAAAGAAGCTTCAATAAAGACTCACCAACTGGAACTTTCTCCCAGGTCGTTATCAGCCTTGGCGGGCTCTTACTCAGCACAGGGCCCACTTCTGAAGCCCACGTGTCTCCAGCGGAGCAGGCCAGCGCAGCCAAGAGAGACAAACACATCCAGGAAGCAGTGTGCTGTCTGGAGAAGTCTATCGGGATTACTGCACCGCTAAGGGAGACGCCAAATTGAAATTCTTAAAATGCTTTTAAATAATAAACACAAAAAATCAAGAGGCTTTTTTTTTTTTTTTTTGGTCACACTGTGTCATGAGGAATCTTAGTTCCCTGATTACGGATGGAACCCGGATCCCCTGCAGTGGAACCTCGGGTCTTAACTACTGGATCTTGAGGGAAGTCCTTTGTTCAGTTTTTTTTTTTTTAAAAAGAAGCTTCAATAAAGACTCACCAACTGGAACTTTCTCCCAGGTCGTTATCAGCCTTGGCGTGCTCTTACTCAGCACAGGGCCCACTTCTGAAGCCCACGTGTCTCCAGCGGAGCAGGCCAGCGCAGCCAAGAGAGACAAACACATCCAGGAAGCAGTGTGCTGTCTGGAGAAGTCTATCGGGATCTCCCCAGGGCCACTTTCTATCATGTACAGCAGGGCCAGCTCCGTGGGCACGGCCCCATTGCAGAATACCTGGATCCAGTTCCTCTGCCCACCTAGGGTGCAACAAGAAAGCGAGGAGGACAAGGATGCCTCCTCAGGGGGAAGACACGCAGTCACCTGTAACTGCTCCTATTTACACTGGGAAAGTTAAGAGAAGAAAAATGACCACAATGTTTAAAATGACTAACAGTGGGATGATAACACTGCCCACATTCTATATTGTTTCAGAATAATTAATGATAGACTTGAGTACTTCTAAAATTCTGCTCTTCTTGCCATCATGGTAAAGTAATAATAAACTATATCAGGCCACTACTTTAAGTAATTCTCATATAAAATATATGTTTCATGAGTCTAAATAGGTTCTGATTAAAAGCTTATGATATGTTAAGCTGAAATAAAAGTTACTAATTTAAGTGACATTAAATATAATTCATTTTACCTTCCTTGTATTCTGAATCTAGACGTTTCTTTGCTTCTCCCTTCCATTTAGTAAGTTTTGAGGAAGTAAGAAAAAACATCAGCAAAGAGGTGAAAAAGCTGAAATTTGCAATGGTTAGGATAAATCCAACCACGAGCCCTGAAAGAAACACATATATACAAAATTACACTTAGACCATACACTAACACTGTGAAAAAAAAGAATGAATTTTTTCAGTTATTTTCATATTAAAACTGGAAATGTTCATTTCTAATATATGGACGTTTTTACCAACTAAGACATTACCAAACAGTATGCAATTGCAACCCACTCCAGTGCTCCTGCCTGGAAAATCCAATGGACGGAGGAGCCTGGTGGGCTACAATCCATGGGGTTGCTAAGAGTCAGAGATGACTGAACGACTTCACTTTCACTTTTCACTTTCATACACTGGAGGAGGAAATGGCAACCCACTCCAGTGTTCTTGCCTGGAGAATCCCAGGGACAGCGGAGCCTGGTGGGCTGCCGTCTATGGGGTTGCTAAGAGTTAGACACAACTGAGCGACTTCACTTTCACTTTTCACTTTCATACACTGGAGGAGGAAATGGCAGCCCACTCCAGTGTTCTTGCCTGGAGAATCCCAGGAACGGTGGAGCCTGGTGGGCTGTCAATGGGGTCGCACACAGTCGGACATGACTGAAGCGACTCAGCAACAGCAGCAGCAGCTTGGGGAGTTAGGGGAGATTTGCTGGAGAGAAGAAACGAAAAAGGGCACGTGGGGGCTCATTGCAGGGCANGAGAAGGAAATGGCAACCCACTCCAGTGTTCTTGCCTGGAGAATCCCAGGGACAGCGGAGCCTGGTGGGCTGCCGTCTATGGGGTCGCACACAGTTGGACACGACTGAAACGACTTAGCAGCAGCATAGTCTTTCTATTTTTTACATTTTCCCTTCATATCTGGGATTTTTTTCCCACTTTACAAAAAATTCAGTAAATAGACCATCCAAGAGTGAATCTGGGAGAAAGAGGCAGATAGAAAACAAGCTCCAACATGACAGAAGTAAGTCTCTCCTTATTAGTAATTATTTTAAATGTAAATGGTTTAAGTGATCCAATCAAAAAAACAGAGACTGCAAAATGATAAAAATACTGGTCCAATTACGTGCTGACTACAAGAGACTTGCTTTAAATCTAAAAACACAATGGGGTGAAAGTAAAAGAACTGAAAAAGATAATCCATGCAAATAAGTGACCAAAAGAGAGCAGGGGTGGCTATACCAATATTAGACAAAACACACAAAATAGACAAAACTGTATTCATGTGATATGATCTCTCTCTATATATATTTAAAGCATTTCTTTTCTTTCTGGCATAACAGAATGCTTGGGGCTCATCTTAAACCTACTTTGCCCCAGCCCTGAAAGCAGCCATTTCTCTGAGGAGCTCTGGAGAAAGTGGGGAATGGATATTAGAGGTCAAAATCTAGGCTCATGGTCTATCCATATCTACTGAGATATATTTGCTTTTTGTGGACAAAGCAAGTGAATACACACATACAAATATACACTCATGCATATATATTCATGCATATACATGAGTCCTTCCAGCCTTGCATCTTCCGAGACTGTGAGGGCCACAATCAGGCACAGCGATCCTCTGTGGCCCTATCCAGGCCACCCGCTAGGATAATATTACTAACTACAACTGCTTCACCCCTAACTGCATGGTGGACAATCTCTGCTCTCTGTAACTCTTAAGATAAATATATTCAGTTTTGCTATATGAAGACTTTTATTAAATAACACAACAAACACTACTAACAGAACAGATATTAAACAATTAAGTATGCTACTATGTATTTAATAATTTAAGTATTAAATAACAGAACAAGGGCCCAGATTCCTATTTCTGAAGTAATTCCTTCCATTGGTAAGCTCGATCTAGACTGATTCATCACTCACTGAATTACTTGATTATTGGTATTTTACTTAAGTTCAGTACATTTTAATTGAGAGTGCAAGAAACAGGATAACGCTGTATAAAGTACCAATAGTAATAAAGTGCCTCACCTCTGGAGCTGAACATTCTGAAGTTAAAACCTGAACTGCTGCATTTACTATTGAAAAACTAGATGTTACCTAACTTTAAGCTTCTATTTCTCATCAGTGTATTAATAATAATTCCTACCGCACTGGCTTACTGTGAAAAGTTAAATGAGATAATTTTAATAATATGCTTATTATATAAGCCAACGCATAGGAAGTCCTTAATAAATGTTAAGTACTATCATTGGCAATAATATTAAATAGCAGTTACAGTGGCAAAACCTCAACAATCACATTATTGTTGCAGTTATGATTATTATTATGTTATCCAATGTTAAAGTCTTTTCAATTGTTTTTTTAATATATTACACAAGTAGTATACAAGTGGGCTTCCTTGGTGGCTCAGTGATAAAGAATCCACCTGCCAATGAAGGAAACATGGGTTTGATTCCTGAGTCGGGAAGATCCCCTGGAAAAAAGTGAAAGTCACTCAGTCATGTCTGACCCAGGCTACCCACTCCATGGCATTCTCCAGGCTAGAATGCTGGAGGGGGTAGCATTTCCCTTCTCCAGGGGATCTCCCCAACCCAGGGGTCGAACCCGGGTATCCCTCATTGCAAGTGCATTCTTTACCAATTGAGCTATCAAGGAAGGCCCCGCCCCCAACCCCTGAAGAAGGAAATGATGACTCACTCCAGTATTCTTGCCTGGAAAATCCCATTGACAGAGGAGCCTGGCAGGCTCTAGTCCACGGGGTCACAAAGAGTTGGGCACAACTAAGCAAAAGAGCACACATGCACGCAGTACACAAGTCCCGGAGAGGAAGGCCAAAACATATGGAAGTATGTGAACTAACAGTCAGACTGCCTTTCTCCCGCACCACCACCATGCCCCACGCTTCTCCAAGGCGCTGCCCTCTACTTCAACCACAGAATACCACATGAAGCAACCAATGTTCAAGTTGAGGATAGGTTCAGAATGAGGAAATGAATTGAAGGCAACATGCTTCAAAGGGATGATTTCTTTGATGTAGTCTAAAAATATCTTAGAATTTTTTGTATCTCCCAGTTATGTCTGAACTTTTAGATTAGTAACTGCCGTCTGCAGCGCATGTCTATTCCACCTCTTCAACCCACCTCTGACATCTCTAACGGTTCCTCAGTGCTAAGGACTTAATACATGTAACAATGGGAAGCTTCCAAAGAAAGTGAAGACTCAAGGATTATGGCTACCTTCTGAGTTTAAAACATGTTAATTCTGTAACTGGCAGATGTCATCTGGGGAACTGAGACAACACTGTCTATAAAGAGCTTTGATAGTGGGAATCAGTCAGTTCAGTTCAGTCACTCAGTCGTGTCCGACTCTTTGCAACCCCATGGACTGCAGCACACCAGGCCTCCCTGTCTATCACTAACTCCCAGACTTTCCTCAAACCCATGTCCATTGAGTCTGTAATGCCATCCAACCATCTCATTCTCTGTTGTCCCTTCTCCTCCTGCCCTCAATTTTTCCCAGCACCAGGATCTTTTCAAATGAGTCAGCTCTTCACATCTGGTGGCCAAAGTATTGGAATTTCAGCTTCAGCATCAGTGCGTCCAATGAATATTCAGGACTGATTTCCTTTAGGATGGACTGGTTGGATCTCCTTGCAGTCCAAGGGACTCTCAAGAGTCTTCTCCAACACAGTTCAAAAGCATCCAGGGCTCAGCTTTCTTTATAGTCCAACTGTCACATCCATATATGACTACTGGAAAAACCATAGCCTTGACTAGATGGATCTTTGTTGGCAAAGTAATGTCTCCGCTTCTCGGTTGGTCATAACTTTTCTCCCAAGGAGCAAGCGTCTTTTAATTTCATGGCTGCAGTAATCATCTGCAGTGATTTTGGAGCCCAGAAAAATAAAGTCAGCCACTGTTTCCCCATCTATTTGCCATGAAGTGATGGGACCAGATGCCATGATCTTAGTTTTCTGAATGTTGAGCTNGATTATCTGGGTCGTGAAGATTTCTTTTGAATAGTTCTTCTGTGTATTCTTGCCACCTCTTCTTAATATCTTCTGCTTCTGTTAGGTCCATACCATTTCTGTCCTTCACTGTGCCCATCTTTGCATGAGAAGTTCCCTTGGTATCTCTAATTTTCTTGAAGAGATCTTTAGGCTGAAAGTTACCTAAAATTGCAACCAAAGGGGCCTGGGAATAATCTTCGGGAGGCAGAAAAGGGAAAGGTACAATTGGAATTTTTTAATCTAATAAACTCAAATGTAATCAATTATATCAAATATACTACTGCCTAGAGAAAGACTGTGAGAATGAATAAGAAGGCTGGCTAGCCCAAAATATAGAATATGAAGGCCAAGAGAACCAGAGGTTGGCAGACTTGAACACTATACCAAGGTCAGGACTCTCTGAACTATGCGTTTGCATTACTGACTTGTTTCTCAGTAAGGTGTGTCTGTGCCGTTGTGTCCAACTCTTTGCGACCCCATGAACCATAGCCTGCCAGGCTCCAATGTCCGTAGGATTTTTCCTGACAAGAATACTGGAGTGGGTTGCCATTTCCTCCTCCAGGGGATCTTCCTCATCCAGGGATTGAACCCATGTCTCCTGATTCTCCTGCACTGGCAGGCAGATTCTTTACCACTGAGCCACCTGAAAAGCAACCTTCTAGATAGAGCTGACTTCTCAACTGGCCTGACCTGAACAGTGATGCATGCACCCAGTTGGCCCAGGAGTTCCATATTTAATCAGATTAATAATAAAGTAGCACTCTGGCTCATTGATTAGTCCTTTGTGACAGTGGCCAACATAAACCATTTCCTTTGGCTCTGATCAATTCTGGGTACCTGACAGAATGAGATTTCTATTTGAAAAGACTGAAAACCGTACCTGAACTATGATAACCAAAGAGGTAAGGCCACCTCTGTGAGACCACATGAAGCACAGCCACTGGCCTTTCCTGACAACACCCCACTGGCTGGGCACGCCCATCACCCTCACAGCATCTTCTTCCTGGGATTAAATGCGTCAAACACCTCCTACTTCTCATCTGCTTCCCCGACTAGAAATGCATGCTCTTTGACAATGGAAATTTTTACCTGATTTGTTCACTAGTCTTCAGTGCCTAAGACAGTGTCTGGCAAACTAAATATTTGTTGTAGGAATGAATTTATAAAAGCAAAAATCACTAAACCCGAGAGTCTTGAAAAGTGAAATTAAATTTAAACTTGTCAAGAGATTGATGACAATCTGTCTACACAGACATGTTCAAAGGAACACCGAGTAACTAGACCGGACAGCACTTCCCTGGAGCAGATCACCTGCACAGCGCTTTGCAGGTTACAAGTACATTCTCACATAAGCCTGCCTGCCATCCTCTCCTTATTTGAGAGGTATTCTTTCTCTTCAGGGGAGGACAGCACTCCAAATACCCAGATCCTGAGGATGTTCTGAAACTCTTCTCAATTCCAACCACACTAAAGACATGCTATTGCAAAACTGAGTAAAAATCCCTATGACTATAATAGTAATTGTGGAAGGAAAACAATACTAACATTTATAAAATATGTATTTTAAGTGCCAGGTCCTATGCTAATCATTTTATATGTATGACTCCTCATGATGAGTCAGTGCTATAGACATTATTATCCCTTCTCATTTTACAGGTGGGAATAGTCATTTAGACAAAGTTTAAGTGCCTTGCAGTCACACGTTAGGACTGTGACTAAGTATATCATACTTAGTCGATGATGATGATCTTTGAATATACTTTGAACCAACAATGATGATATACTTTGAATCAACAGTAGTTTTTTATCCTTAAGGGGAAAAGAAGCTCCAAACAAAAAAGATACCAACTTTCCATAGAATGAATGACTAGGTGAAGAGTGGAGTTTTAAAATCCATCTACATGTATTTCCCAAGCACTGTTACAACAGTGTGCAGCACTATTCAAAAAAGCATGGGACACAGAAGCATATGTATAGTCTGTCTGTGGGGAGTTTATTGTATAAGACTTTACAGATTAAAAAGATACGGTGTCCCACACATTTTCTTGTTTGAGCGTCACCAAGAAGCCCACAGGGACCTATTTCATGAAGAAAGTGAGGCTCGGAGGAGATAGGTGCCATGGCCAAGTTCACAGAGAGAGAGGTGGCAATGCCAGGATTCAATCGCGTATCTTCTAATTCTAAATCAAGCCAAGTAGGGGAGGAATAGAGGCCCAAGGGCTAGAAGGCAGAAGAGGAAACGGTAGCAGGAAGGAAACCAAAGTGGAGAGCAGAAAAGTAAGAGAAGAAAACAGGATAATAAACAGCACAGAAGTCAAAGGAAGACAGCACTTCAAGAACTTGACGCTTCTTCCTACAGGTCAAGAATAATGAAAACCAAGGCAAGGCTACCCGATAAAAAACATTTCTCGCAAGCATAACTCTATATTATTATATTCAATCAGAGATTGCTCAAATCATTTGCTATAGATGAGTTAGTACTTTCAAAGTGCTAAAATAGATTTCTCAATTGCTCGACAGAACTCGAAGAGTGTGTCTCAGTTTTGAAGAACGAGAGAGAGCATCATTTCCTGAGGACCTGTGCCTAATAGTGGCAATCACCCTATACATGCTGGCTATATGTCTAGGCACTGAGCTAAAAACTTCACAGAAATTATTTTATTCTTGCTGCAACTCTAAGAATGAAATGAGAGGTAGATCAAGATTTTGTGGGTCTTGAAGCTCACTTTTTTAAAAAAAATCTTTTATCCCCGAAAAATTTACAAAACAAGAGGACCGTGAGAGCACGAAGCTAGGGCCCTTCCTAGGACTTTGAAAGGTACTGCTGCAAATGAGGTGCCATGGAGCTTAAGCTGTTACTTTCATGGTGTTGCCCTTCTCTAGGTTGGATTCTTTTAATGCACAGGAAGCATTTATTCATCTTCTGAATCCTTAAAAAGTTGAAGTATAGCTGACTTACAATGGCATGCTAATTTCTAGGTTAGATGTTAAAAACCCTCTTCTCTGAAGAGAAAACTGAGGTACCGGGAGGTTAAGTGACTTTCTCAAAGCCCCACGACTTTCCTAGCCATTATTCTAACTCATCTTGCCTGATTCCAGTGCTTGCTTTTTTACCTATCAGACTATCTTGCCTCCGTGAAGGCCCACTCTAGTTCATAATACATTATAAAATCTCTGCTGTATGTGAACACAGAGGAGAGAAAGCACGTTTACAGTACATTAAGGCTAATGATCAGCAGCCTCTTGAAGGCTGGGTAGGCGGCTTCGAGACCTGCCAGTTCTAAAGAATCAGCATCGTGTAGTGATCCCAGCCTTTAGGACGTATTTGAGGGGAACCCTCATGTCTCGGGGCTTATACCGCTGGCAGGATATGAAAGTCCCGAAGTCATATCAGGTCCCATCACTCCCCTGGTTCGAGACAGGGAGATCCTAGCTTGGGATGAAATCTTTACTGTGCTCAGCAACCCTCTATTATCTGGCCATGGCATCTGTCTTCAATGTTTCTCTCTCATGACTTTTCCAGTCGAATGAGTCTTATTCTCACTCCCAAACAAACCAGGCTTGAACATGTCAGGGCCTTTCTGCTTGTTTTGTCAAGCCTGGAACATGCTTCTTGCAGTTCTTCTCATCTCTGACTTTTTCAGGTCCCAGTTCAAAACCACCTCTTTAACACAAAGGTTAATCCTGAGCCTATTCACAGAAAAGTGTCCCACATTCCCCAATATTCACACTTTATTTTCTTTAGTTTTTCTCATAAACTTTATCAGTATATGAAAAGGTTTATGTATTTTATTAATCTATCTGTACTAAAGAATAGAAATCCCATAAAATCTGAAACCTTGCCTTTGTTCACAGCTATACTCCCAGTTTCTAGAAGAGTGGCACACAGTAAATGCTTAATAAATATCTGCCAGAAGAATAAATAAATGGCCTGTCCTCACTGCAATCCCGAAAATTTGAGAATACTCAGTTGGGACCACTCCACTTGAGGCTACTAATAGTAATTTCCAAGTGCTATTCGTCCCAAAATGGGCTTCCCAGGTGGCTCAGTGGAAAATAACCTGCCTGCCGTGCAGGAGATGCAAGAGATGTGGGTTCAACCCCTGGACAGGGAAAGACCCCTTGCAGCAGGAAGTGGCAACTGGCTCTAGTACTCTTGCCTGGAGAAGCCCATGGATAGAGGAACCTGGCCGGCTACAGTCCTTGGGTCGAAAAGAGCTGGACACGACTGAGCACATCCTTAACACTGGCTCCCACACTTTATCTTGAGGTAAAATGCTCCCAAGTTTCTGCCTGCAGAAAATTTAATCCAGCTCAGAAGCTGAATCATCAAGGTCCTCAAAAGTCTATCCCACTAATTTACTTGTTATCAACTACAAAGTTCAATTTGGATGTCACACTGAAAGGATATGTTAGTATCTGAAATTCTGGCAGAATAGGAATGGCGAGCAAGGCATAACTTTATTATTGTCTACACTAAGTAACATTGTGATTTATAGTTTCATATGTTTAGAATTTAGAAACCACCCATTTAAATTACATAAGCAATTATATGCCAAACGTTCAAAAGAAAAACATACCTCCTAAAGCCCCACTGTGATCTAGACTTTTCTTCTTAAACCCATTAGAGACGATCAAAACAGGAACAACAACAGAAAACAGCCAACGCCAAGGAGAAACAGGCTGAAAGTTACCTGAAAAATGACAGAAGTAGAGCATAAATTGTGTCAAGCCTACACAGCTTAGTCTTGGGTGCAAGCTTTGATAACTGTATTCTGGACTAAAACACTGTTGTAAGCAGAGAAACTGAGATGAAGCCACCAAAGTAAAATATTTACGTTGAAACTCAAGAGAGACAATCCTACTGGTGAGTGACAAAATAAGTCCTAAGTTTTGAGAACCATTTACAACTATTTATAATAACAGGTATTTGATACATATTTGAAGATGTGAAATGCATTTCTGGTTCTTTGGAAAGGAGGCACGTATTCAACCTCAAGAACTGCAGAGAACAAAAAGGATCTAGTTTTTTTTTTTAAAACAGGATCCAATTATTCCTCTCTCTGCCTTTCACAGAGATCTCTTAAAAAGGTGACATTCCCACAGGCTACATACACACCTCAGGATTCAAAGATTAGCAACTGATTTTCCCAAAGGTCGCATCGTTTGTTTTGGCAAGCATAATTTTTTTCAGATAATTCAGTCAATAAAGATTAGGAAATTTAGTATAAAAAAAATCCAGACTCTTGTTTCCTGTTTTAAAAGCTGGATGCTCAGGCTCACAAGGCAAAACTGACTACAGGGGAAGAGAAACAACCTCCTTTAGACCATTCATGGCGATACCATATAAACTCCCCCCTTTAATATAAAATGATTATAGTCAAGAAAAACATGAAAAAAAAACACAAAAAACATGAACTATTGCTGTGCCCACATTTCTACTGAAAATTGGGAAATGTTATAGTCAATATTTTATAATAACTATAAATGGAGCATAACTTTAAAAAATTATGACTCACTTTATTGTACACCTGTAACATATAATATTGTACATCAACTAAAACAATAAAAATTTTAAAAAATAAAAAAAAGGAAAATGCAAGACAAAAAGGGTGAAACATTAAAAAAAAACTGGGAAAATCCTATTTCTAGAAGTGCAAACTGTTCTCATGTGCTTAACATGCAAAGAAAAGCCTTGGACAGCTTCACTTACCTGCACTGAGTGCCTGGTCCCAAGGGGCCACTTCAATTTACAAATCCTGGCTTACTCTATTTAGTTCAAGCCATAGTTAACCTGCCAGTGTTACTTACTTACCTCCCTCCCCCAGCCCTCATCCCCTACTGGGAATCATGAATGAACAGCCAGCTTGGAAAACACTTACTAGATTATTCACACATTTCTTTGCAAAACGACTAAGGTCTAAGATGGCCATCACTTAACACTATGTAAAAGAGTTTACTTTCTCACTCTGTTTTTCACTTTTCCTTTCAACTGAACAGTATTCCGTTTTTATAAAGGGCTATCAAGGAATCTGTACAAAAGCATACTTGTGCTCTATAACAGCTTCAAAACCTGAAGTTCTGAGTTCAGAGTACCTCGTATTTATGCAAATTGGCTTCAGGCTTTAAAACTATTTTGCTCTTCGGCAGTGACCAAACAGCAGGCAAATCTTCCAAATCTCCAAACGTGAACACTGTGTCGTTTATTTTCATTTTTTTTACCGGACACATGAAACTGATGAACTTTATGAATATTCTTATTAAAAGTACCACTGCAATTGCTTTGCAAAATTATGTTTCACTTCACTTGCTTTTCACCAAGATAGACGTAACAATTACATAAAATATAAAACATATTTTGGAACAGGTATAACTAGTATGACAAGCAATATTTATTAAAAGCTTTAAAACGTTCAAGGCACTGTGTATTTATTTCCATGTTAGTAAATCCAAGTCAGGCCACAGAAGTTAAATAAACACAACAGTTTATAACCCTTCAGAGGATATGAGTTTTGGCCTTCAAAATGGGACATTCTAAATTTCACCGATTAAAGACAAATTAGAACATTCATACTCACCATAATAGGTGCTTGCAGTCATAGACATAATCCAGAAAGCTGAAGAAATGCAAATGATCAGGCTCAATATAACTATATTAGTTATCATCTTTATGTATTTCTTGTACGTATTGTCGTCAAGATCTCGCATGAAAAATAAGGATATAAACACCTGGGGAAGAAACTATCTCGCGTTTCGGAGAAAAATAAAGTCAGTTAAGTGGCCAGCAAAACATTCGTATAGAGGCGAACATAAATGCTAACATTTGCCACCAGTCCAGAAAACAATATAAACCGAAACTGTTTCTAGATACTGGGCTGAGCTCTGCCACGGGAGCTTAGGCGAGGAGATGAAGCCGCACCCGCGAGGAGCGCCTGCTCGCAGAGCTCGGTCACTTCACACCTGGACTTGGCCGCTGCGCACGGGAAAGGGAAGCGGGGGCAGCCAACCAGAGGCTCGGGGCGGCGACCTCCGCCTTCCCCGCCCGCCCGTGCGCTGAGGCCGGGCGCTCGCGGCGCAAAGGGGCGGGGCGCGGGACTAGGACGCTGGGGGTCCCGGTTGCGAGTCGCGCCCGACCGCGCGTGGTCGCTCCGCACGGCCGCCCGCGCGGCCCCAGAGGCCTGATCCAGCCGGCCGGGCACAGGACGCCGGAGCTCCGCCCGCGCCTGCCCTCTCGTCCGCCGCCCGCGCGGCTCCAGAGGCCTGGTCCAGCCTGCCGGGCGCAGGGCCCCGGAACTCCGCCCGCGCCTGCCCTCTAGTCAGCGCCCGAGATGCGCCTCCTGCGCGCATGCTCCGCGGCCACCGCGGGCGTGGCCTCGCTCACGCGAGCGTTTAAAGGGCGGCTGCAAGGGCAGGCAGGCCTGGAGGATCCCGCAAGCGAGTACCTTCGATAGTGCTCTTTGCGTTAGCAGTGCTTCTTAGAATCTAGGCAATTGGAACACCCTATAAAGGTCTTGCGTTTGAGGTCATGCCCAAGCGCTGAAAAGTGAAACCCGCCACCATGAGACTAAGAGGAATGAAGGCAAGTGGATTGAGATCCAGTTAAGTCCATGTCAAGCATCAAATTCGGATGAATTGTTCATACCATACAATATTAACGGACTTCTTAGGAGGAAAGGGATATATTGGGCTGTAGACAGGGAATTTTGACTGAGAACGTCGTTTAAAAACAACGTCGTTCTGTAAGGTGCTGGACACTGTTGGCCACTGGGGATATACAGATAGCTCACCATAGCTCCTGTTATTGAACTCTCAAATAGTCACTATCTGGAACTGTGGGAAATCTGTTCCCACACGTCTCCTATTTGAAGTCTGTGAATTCAGTCAGTTCACTTTGAAAGCAGAACAGCTTGTCACCATTAAAAGTCTGAATCTTGTGACTTCACATTTTACTTGAAGTTAATTTTTGTTTCCTGAGTTATCAGTAATTGATAATTACATTATATTCTGAACTTTCCCCGCTAATTGCTGACAGTGTAAGCAGCAGCAACTCATTTTCAGACGTAGTACCCAAATGTGTTTTAACCTGTTAAGAGTAATTACTTATTGAAAACACAGTGTTATATGCAAAGACTATTTAAAACGCTTTCCTTTGGTAAGTAAGTGAAAGTCGCTCAGTTGTCTCCAACTCTTACAACCCCACGGACTACAGAGTCCATGGAATTCTCCAGGTCAGAATACTGGAGTGGGTAACCCTTCCCTTCTCCAGGGAATCTTCCCAACCCAGGTGTCCCGCGTTGCAGGCGGAGTCTTTACAAGCTGAGCCATCGGGGAGACCTAAGAGTACTGGAGTGGGCAGCCTATCCGTTCTCCGGCGGATGTTTCTGACTCAGGAGTCCAAGCAGTCTCCTCAATTTGTCGTAGGCGGATTCTTTGCCAGCTGAGCCACCAGGGGAGCATTTGATTAATTACCTGAGAACCACACTTGTGAAGTAGGACTAAATAGTAAGGGACTTCTTTTACTACATGCATATATAGTCTTTATGCAGAGATTATGTGCCCACTGTAGTCTGGGTCTGCTCAGCACAGGTAAACAATTGGATTACTTCAGAAAACATATTGGCCAATCATAGTGATGCTAGACTACTGGGTAGAGTTATTATTAATACGTGACCTTGTTTTTGTCTTTGCTTAGACAAAGTTATGAACTGGTATTACTTATTTTTTCCCTTCACATCAGTGTGGTCGTAGGGTGTTCTTGCCTAATCCTGTTCTATGAGATTTTTATGTCCAGTAGGAAACCTGTGTCCGGCCATCTTCTGACAACATTCAAGTCCAGCTGTATCAGGCTAGTTCCTGAATGTCAGGGATGATTTTCTTGCTCATGAATATGTTAGCAAAATTTGCATTTTAAATAATAACAGTATCAGTGATTGACTCTTCAAATGAATAGTGCTCTTCCATTTATTCCGATGTCCAATTATTGCTGTTGTTTTTCATAAAATTAATTATTCTCTCTTAAAGCTGAAACAATTTGGGGTAACTGACATAGTTAAAATATTCTTCAAAAAGAAACATCATTTTACAATCTGATCATATTTATAGACTTTGATAATCTGAAAATATTTCAACAAAGTCTTTTTCTATTTGCTTTAAAAGCCATCTCTAGCAGAATTTCTGGGTAAGCGTTTTCTAAACTATGCTCAAGATATTAGTATGTATGCTACCCTCCCCCACCACCTTCCTTCCAAAAGTCTGACATGTCTCAGGGTCTGACATGTATATGTGAAAGTGAAAGTGTTAGTTGCTCAGTTGTGTCTGACTCTTTGCGGGACTTCATGGACTGTAGCCCGCTAGGCTTCTCTGTCCATGGAATTGTCCAGGCAGGAATACTGGAGTGGGTAGTCTTTCCCTTCTCTGGGGGAACCTTCTCGACCCAGGGATCGAACTGGTCTCCTGCATTGCAGGCAGATTCTTTACTGTCTGAGCCAGGAGGGAAGCCCTCCAAAATACCTCTGATAAAACTTAAGGTTCAGATATGAGGTTTGTTTCCTCAAAGGACTGGGAGAGTGCAGTAAAGGCTCTGAGAAGTTAAGAAACTGAACACTTCCAACAGAGTTGTTTTACCACAGATTTCATAACCTCATAAAACTTCACAGTTTGATAATTGTCATTATAATCAGAGCAACAGCCTGAAAATTCATTGTTGGACTGATAATCTTTAAATATCACAATATAAATACCTACTTATGTGGTTTTTGACATAAACATTTTCTGGGGTAAACATTTGACAATCTAGTATTCTTGCCTGGGAAATCCCATGGACTTAGCAACTAACAACCACCACCAACTGCAAAAATCATCCTGCTGGCAAAATCACTTAACTGATGCTAGGAAAATATCAGTGCGTTCTGTGTACCATCACTTTGAATCTAAGCCAAAGGAGGAGTGCTTTAGATTTTGTGAAAGCTCTAAATGTGCTGATGGCTAATACATACATGTCAGACCCGAGGCCCAAACCAACACACACACACACATTTGGCTGCAGTACAGGAGCCCTGGCTTGGATCCCTGGGTCTAGAAGACCCCCTGGTGGAGGGGACGGCTACCCACTCCAGTATTCTTGCCTGGAGAATTCCACGGACAGAAGGGCCTAGCGAGATAGTCCATGAGGTTGCAAAGAGCTGGACAGGACTGAGCAACTAACACTTTCACTTTCACATATACATGTCAGACCCTGAGACCTAAAACAAAACACACACAGAGCCTTGAAGAAACAAAGAAAATGAAAATAGATTTGTAGACAATAATGAGAGGATGACTTTATCCAAGTTATGCATCAAATAGGACTTAAGGAGAGAAGCGCTGATGTCACTTTGATAGGTTACAGGAAAGTGTCAGAGAGTGGGAGCATCGGAGCTAATACTTAAAAGGAGTTTGCTAAATGACAAAACTAAAGTACAGCCAATATATAAAGATTTGGTGGTTAAGACCATGAAAATAGACATTCATGAGAATGGAGGATTTTGAGATAACAAGGTCTGAAATACTTAAAAAGCCTCTTGATGAAAGTGAAAGAGGAGAGTGAAAAAGTTGGCTTAAAGTTCAACATTCAGAAAACTAAGATCATGGCATCTGGGCCCATTACTTCATGGCAAACAGATAGGGAAACAGCGGAAACAGTGACAGACTTTATTTTGGGGGGCTCCAAAATCACTGCAGATGGTGATTGCAGCCATGAAACTAAAAGACGCTTACTCCTTGGAAGGAAAGTTATGACCAACCTAGATAGCATATTAAAAAGCAGAGACATTACTTTGCCAACAAAGGTCCATCTAG